ATATATATAAGAAGTTTCTTACTTATCCTTATTACAAAATATGATATACAAATTTTAATAATTACCTTTTACAAAACATTGTTGCAGTTGCAGGCATGTTGACAGGTCTGAATCAGTGATGTAAAAATATCCTTATTATAGTATAGAACCCTTTTCTAAGTAGATCTTCTTATCTCTTATCTGAGGTCAATTGGTCCTTTAGAAAAATATTAGATAAATTAGATAAATACTTTCCTCTTTATCTTCTGTATACAGTTCCTTATCACGTGAACACTTGAGGCGAACTAGAGAGTTTTGCATGCACGTGACACTCCTAATTCATTGACGTCACAATTCGCAATTTTTTATAATATTTAGATTGAGTATATTTGTATTTATTTAATTTTACAGCTCTTAAAGTTTTTATATACAAATATTCCTTACAGATATATTATTATCATTTTACAGCTCTTAAATAATATTGAATTTATATTCAAATATTTCTTAGTGATATATTATTGAAATATTTCTTACTGATATATTATTGATATAATAAAAATTATAATTTTTAAAATATATTTGAAAATTTTGTTTTTCATTCATTGCCCAACTAATTTTTTTTTTCAACGGTGATGATTTATTCATTGAAATTTTTTTTTTTTTTTTTGCCGTGGTTATTTATTTGCGCATATAGAACAGTTTTCCTTTATAATCTAATTTTTTAAAATATTAAATAAATAGTTCATAAGAAATACATCACTAATTTAAAACAAGAAAAATGTATTAGAAGTATTTCCAAACATAAGTATAACTTTTTATACTTATTAAGTATAAGTTAAGTAAACAAATTGAAATAATGTCATAATCTTGATATTAATCATGATCTAAAAATTTTGATGATAATAAAATAGTTCTAAAATATTGTATAGAAAATATGTACAAAATACAATAAAATAAAATAAATTGGATACCAAAGAATTGTACGTCTTTTTATGCCATTGCATTTCTCAGTATCATATTTACTAATGTTTATTTTTATACTGTAGTAAATTTCATAAAAAAAAAAATTAAATAAAATAAAAACTCATTACTATGAGTGCAAAAGATTGTATGTGAAAATTTTCCATTTTTAATCTATTTGTGCGAAAAGTGACATTTTGTAGTCTGCAACTGCTCTATGAAGTCTGTTGCAATGGAAAATAGCAGAGGGAAATAAAATATGAAATTACACTAATTAATCATAAATAATCAGTTTTTATACTCTCCTGCAAAACAATCTATTTTTAGGTATATCCTTTTGTAATAACAGTAGTGACCTATAAATATCCGAATTACAAAAACAATTACTTTGAAACAAGTTTAATTGATATTTAAGATATTAAATTTTTTTTTGGATTTTAATAACTGAACTTTTGTAAATAAAATTGTTTTTTCAGCTCAATATTTGTTTTAGATGATTATTATTAAATAATATATTAATATAACAAGATCTGATCAAAGGGAATGATGTTAATCTAAAATGCACTAAAAAATTTAGTTTAACTGAACATAAATACTTCTATGTTATAAATCAATCATACCGTTCTGTTAACTCATCGATGGAAACCATGGACGGAATTCGGCATCCTACTTTAATCAACAATTGAATCACTGATGGCTCAGGGGGTTCCATCGGTTTTTGGTGGATCTGCTGGATGTAACATCATTATAACCTCAGTATTGATATTTCTCAATTAACATTACATATCTACATTCAATTTACTTTCTACATACTACTACATTGAAAAATTCATTTGTTAGGTCTTTCTTTATATATTGTTTTATTTTTCATGTGTTTTTGATATATCGGGTCTTCAAATCTTCAATTTTTGAAAATTGGAGGGATGTAAATATCTAACAATAATATGTGTACTATCTATAGGTATTTAATATATCAAAATTTCAATAAAATAAATCGATATTTCAGATCTCAATGTTTTTAATCCATCAAAGAAAGGATAAAATATTAACATTGAATTAAAGTCTTATATTTGTAATATCTTTATAAAAAAACAATTAAATATTTATACATTATTTAATACAAAAAATAGCATACATTTATTAAAATAAATAAATTGATAATTTTTGGAAACTTTCTCAAAAAAAAAAAATCAATTAAATTTCTTAAATTAAAAAATAAATACATAAAATAATGAAAGAAAACATATACTGAATGAATTAATAGAAACCTAAATATATATTATTTAAAAAAACTTATTACTATAATTTACAAAAAAAAAAATAATTTAATTCTAAATATAACAAAATAATAATGTTGACTGAAACTTCTTACATTTTATTATAAACAAAAAAAAAATATTGTAATTAAAAAGATATATTAAATCAATATTCTCAAGTGTTGTATTTAAAATTAATATCATTTGTATGCACTTACAAGTGACATAGCATTCCTTAGTAATTTATTTCTGTTTTTTTATTAAATTTCTTGTTTGCTAAAAATATATCATTATTTAATAGTCAAATTTTAATATCAATATTTTTCCAACATCCATAGATGTTTTACAATCTGTGGCTTTCCTGTGATATATTTTAGATACTTGTTCTGGTCCTCCAAGAAAACAGGATTGAGAAATTTGAAAGAACAATCTTCAGCATAAAAATTGCAGTTACAAAGAATAACATCTTCAAAAAGAGAAAGAACTTTAAGATGCTACTTTAAGAAATTTATAAGTCAATTCATCATTATGTGACTGGTGGGAATTTATTAAGCAAAAAGCAATTTATCAGGATACCTCTATTCACCCCTGATTTCAACAGCAGAAGGCAATATATATAGCTAATAGCTAAATTTAGGCGTAGAGACCAAATAAACAAAGATACTGTAAGGCTAAATGCAACATATATAAAAAAAACAACCATATATAATGATTGAGATGACAAAAAAATATTAATGAAAAAAAAGTATATAATAGGACTTTATAACCAGATTTAAAACTCGAATGATTTATTTAATTTTAAAAAAAGTTGGATTAATAGAAGATATTTTGAAATAATAGAGAAAATAAATATTCATTTTTTGATAGTTTTTCAATACTTTGTTGATTGTGGTATAACTTAAAGATGACCGTTACAAAAAAAAAAAAAAAAAAAAAATTATCTTTCAAATTTAAATATCATTACAACAATGTATCAATGTTAATTTATTTTTTCTTATTATTGTTTAAGATAAAGTGATTACAAAAATATTATCTATCAATTTTCTGTAACTCTAAATGAGTCGAATAATTTTTTTTAAAATGTAAGTAATGCCAATGTCATCTAAAAAAAATTCGTCTATAGTCTAGCAACTATAAACAGTTTTAAGAAAAGGCTAATTTAACAATGCCTTCAATTAAATATAATAAACCTATATTATTTTTTTTTTTTTAGGGAACAGGTGTGTGACAAGGGGGACAAGTATAGTTATCCATCACATCAATAATTATACATCAGCAAGCCAGGTATTATTAAACAATTAATAAAATTTAAACTTTTCAAAATGAAAGTTATCTAATTAGCGGAATGATTCTCGTTTTCTGATCCATAAAGCTATGCAGGTTTCACATGGCCTCTGAAGGGTTGCATATTTTTTCTTTTTGTATTAATATAATTATCTCCAAATTATATAATTTTCAATAAATTTAATTTCAGAAGTCATAACTAGAAACATCATTGAGTATCTTGAATATAAACATTTAAAACAATTTACTTTTATTATTTTTTTTTTGTTACATGGTACGATTAAAATATTTCAAAAGACATGTCAAGTATTAAGAACACTACTTTTCTAAAATGTGGTTTGACAAATGGTAGACATTTAAGAACAAGTAATAACAAGTAAACTAATAATTACATTTTATATTATATTTTATTATGATAATAAATATAATATAAAAAGTATCAATGAAGAGTGAAGGATACTGTTTTGTTTCTTATCCATTCTAAATAAATAAGTTCTTTTAATAAAGTTCAAGTTCAAAAAGACACATTTGGTTCTAAAATTAAAATGTATCCATGACACACCATCTATTGTAACTTTGATGAACTAGCATTATTATTTTCAACTGTTATATAATATTAATATTTTATAAATTAAGTTTTTAATAAATAACACAACTATTTAACAGTGACATATCTTTGTTATAAAAAAAAAGTTATAATTTACTATTTAATTTAAAAATCTTTTGACACCAAGAAACTAGAAAAACATTTGATTTAATTTTAATTAGGACAGTAATACAAAAATAATCTAGGTTTAAGAAGATATAAAATGAATAATAAAAAATTATTGATTTTAGATTATTATTATTATTATTGTTAGAATTATTATTCTGTACTCAGTACCCAATTTACAATTAACAAAACTGGTACATTACCAAAAAAAACCCAATTAATTTTATAATAAAAATTAAACAAGAACAAAGTAAAACCATAAATAATGCTCAGAATTCCCATTCATATTAAAATAAGGGTATCTGAAAAATAGCTATGGGCAAGTTTTTAAACTTCAAGCTAAGTGATTTTTAACACTTGAGTTTAGCAACTTTCCAATCTTTAATAATAACCAATAGTGCAATATAAAAGCAAATCTTGGAATAAGAGAAAATAACAGAATTAAATTTTAAAATGTTTATTATCAAATTCAAAAGTTTATACAGTACAAAATTCCAGTATAATAATTAAATACAAATTTTTTATATACATAAGTATGTACAAAGGATGAGTACTGATTTAAAAGCTTTTGACAAAATATATTGCCACTAATAATACTTTTCAAAACCATTTGATTTTCAACAATTAAACCCTAACATTGTTCTATAGTCATTTTTAATTGTTACACCAACCAATTTTCAAAAACTTCCAGTTTATTTAATGCATGTTATGACATATTTTATAGTGATTATGCATTAGTTTATTTTGAGTGGTTTAACAAATACCAAAGCATCATTGTCCGTAGAACAAACTAATTGTTCTTTTATTACATCTAATGAATTTGTTGGAATATGTTTTTTACCGATTAGAGCCCTTATTTGTGGTTCTAAATAAGACTGCGTTTTCATTGTATTACGTAATTCGGGTGGAAGTGCCATGAGTCTAGGATCTAAAAGTTCACCAGTCAGTAGCTTGCCAAAATTATTCCAATGCCATACTTCTCCGCCCATTGATGCCGTGAACATATTGGCAGGCCAATCTTCATGAAACTGTAAACATGTAATAGGGTGGTCGTGAGCTTTATACACAGTTAATGGGTGATGTCCAGTCCTTAGGTCCCAAGTAACGACAGCACCATCAGTACCTCCCGTCACTACTATTTGACGCTGCCTTGGAAAAGGTGTAATACAGGTAAGACCGATGGTCTCTTCACTGTTATAAGGAAAAATTTTAGCAGGTTCAAAAAGCCCTTCTCTTAAATCCCACAAACTTATTTGCCCCCTTAAATTACCAACCAATACTTCGTTTGCACTAAGTATCCCAAGGCAACTCGCTTCATCATTGTAATGATTAACAGTTCCAAGACTTGAATTTAAATCCGGAGAAAGAAAGTAAAGATGACCATGTTCACCTAAGGCACAAATAAAAGCACTACCTATTTCAAATCCTCTGTAGGATATTGAAGTTTCTCCAAAAAATTCACTGTCCCAGTTATGGATTCGATTCATTTCCATTTTTTTTAAGTGTTCATTATTAGCAATATTCACTATTCCAAACTCACCACCTTCGGTAGAATATAAAAATTTATTGTTTTCAACAAACTTTATGGCACTAACATCACCAGCAACCGATATTTTTTGAAGTGTAGTTGGTATTTTTTCTGCGAAGATTTTTCCGGTTTCAACTTCTTCTATTTGATTCCACTCCCAGTTACTGGGATACGACCATAAGCCCAAATAGTTGTCGTCTTCTTCATATGTACCTGTGACAAAATAATTAGGAACACCCAGTTCAGGTTTCCATCTTACTGTTGAAACTTTGGCCGAAATATAAGTTCGTTCAATAACATTATATGTAATACCTAATTCTTGGCCTCTTACATCCATTTTACAAGACTGAAATCTATACTATCATTAACAACATAAACCAAAACGTTTCACCGAACCGCGCTAAAATAACCTTCCAGTCATAGAAGTGTATGCTAAGAGGTATTATGGATTTAGAAATAATTTAACTCAACATGGTCTACATGTTTGAATTGAATACATGTATATATATTTTACTGAATCTATCTATCTACATTCTGAACACTCACGATATCGAAAGTTACGTACTGTTGTGATAATTTCTTATTTATTTACAACGTTGATAATTAATTTAGCAAATATTTAGAGGAAACTACAAATGTAAATGTAAGTGAAACTCCTTGCTGAACGCACCTATAAGTCTCTATTTTTATTCTTCTAATTTTATTTACTTATTTTTTTGTTTTCTTCTTCTTTTCTTTCTCCACATCCCTTTATGTCCATTGTTTCATATTATATCCTTTTTCCTTTTCTTCCAATCTCTCCTGTAAATCTGTAGGAGTATATTCACAATTGCATATATTATATTTTACATTATACTACAACGATTGTTACCATCTATTTACTTCAATTTAGGATCTTGTTACTTAGCTTACTCTGTTTATATAACTTATTGTTCTTAATATTTTAATGCATTTTCTGTTTATAATTTAAATAAGTTTATTAATATTGTTTATAATTTTTTATCTAAATTTGATGTAACTTCCATAATTCTTTATCTCTTTTTGTATCTTATCCGTTCTAACCCTGAAGAAGACCTACAAACTCGGGTCGAAACGTTGGCTTTTAATAAAATAGTTTTGCCACTATTTAGTTTATTTATGACCGCCACCCCGGACTATCTCCTTCCTTAATAATACAACGGTCAACTATTGAGTATTCAATACAAATGTAAATGCTTTTAAATGTAAGACAGACGACTATAACTCATCCCTGAAAAATCAGACTATTAAAAAAAAAAGAAGTTAATTCGACTCACTCAAAGTAAAATTAAGTTTTCGATGCCAGTACGATTTCCGAAGCTGCAGAATCATAGTAAATCTGAAGCTTTTTACTACGTTTACAAAAACTTAACAAACAGAAGATATCACGACAATTTTCATTAGCTGTTTTTTTATTGATAAGTATGAAGGCTCTTTATGTTTGAAAAATCAAAGAAACCCATTTAAAAGAGGGATTTTTTCATAGTATATACCTGAAATAATTTGTTTACGCGTCCATTAACGATATGTTTATCTTTCGCAGTGGCATCCAGCATTCGGCATTTCATACTGAATTTTATTAAACAGCACTCGATATGCTTTGCTTATTCACTTGTTTTGAATTCCGAAGTCGATTTCATATTCAAAAATCTTCGGTAAGCCCCAGTATACTGATACCGGTACGCCCCAGAAGAAACTTTTTTTTTAAATTTTTTTATTCTTAGTAATCGTTTTTCATAAAACAAGAATGTTCTACTGATGTTGAAACAAAACTGTAAAATTCATAGTTTTAATATTATTTAAAAAAAAAAAAGAGAGAGAAAAGGAGAGGAAGTATTACGGAGAGTTCAGAAATATTTAAGTTCTAGGTAAATTGTATGATTCTATTCTGGGTACTACGAGGTACATATATAAACACTGTGTTCATGTGCACCGCTTTGATTTCCTTATTAGTATAGAGTAGTTTAAACAAATAATACAAAATCTAAGTACACATTACACTCTTAAATTTTCTCCTCGATCAATGTCCATTTAAGTAAATGATAATTCCATATTAGTAAATAATTATTGTTGTTCGCAGATCATATTTGAGGAGCGGATTTCTAAAAATTAAAATATATTTTAAGCTATATCTAAAATGTACTAATTCATACTTTTTTAATTTATTTCATAATTTCCATAATTTATTAATTTTTAAAACTACTGAGGATAAAAGCGGCGTTCAGAACGATGTTTATTTTCTGTTCACCGCCAGATCTCTGGAATATTAGCCTAATATATGATTTTCGTCAGAATACAATTGCTTTTTCCATCGATTTTAATGATGTATCAAACCACTGTACGTATTTATATGAAAAACCTGACGAAAAGTCCAATACATAAAATACTATAATCTTCACACTTTATCTTACTTTTTTATTAAGTACAACTTGATATATCTTCCCATTGTTTTTCCCATTCTTCTTTCCCCTTTACACAAAGAATTGGAACTGAGTGGTTGTTAATTTGTTTTTGTTGTATATTATAACTTTTTTTTATAAATTACTAATTACCCAGTATTTTCACTTAGGTTTAAGTAATTTTAGTAAAGTAATTGTTATTGAGATGGAAGATGGAGAAATATACTCGAATACGAACCATAACAATCCTACTTGTTAGGGAAACATTGCTTTTAATATTATTTAAACAACTATAACTGAGTTACTCTGGTTAATGTTTTAAATATACTTAAATTCTTTAAACATGTTCAAGGAAGTCTCGAGTTACTATTCCTTTATCAAATTACATTCATTGTTTTCTTTAACGATCTTGAATTAAACGGTTTCTTTTGCGACATGTTTGAACTTGACAAGATTTGCTTTGATATTTTTTAATTGGTTTTGCATATGTACTTTTTCTTTTCAGGATCTTTTTAACGTTATAGGAAATTATTAAAACGTAATAAAATAAAATATATCCATAATGTCTTGATGGTGAACATGGCCTGTCAAAACATGCTTATATTATAGGGAAAAAACGTTTTCAGAAAAAAGGCCAGTCATTTACTTCCAATAATTCATTTGATAAGTTGAATTAAACCTTTTTGATCAGATTTTTTAATACAAATATTCCTCTTAGCTTAGCGTTGTTTAAAACTGATTGGCTCAAATCAGCTTTAAGGTTCTTTCTTCTACAAAGTTCAAGGGATACTATCAAACATGGTTTAATGATCAACTATTAATACGTTGTGAGGATAGATTGGCATAGGTATAGCTTAAGAATCTTTTTCGAGAGCATTCATTTTTTAATATGCCTTTGCTGAAAGGAAACAAAAGTAAATACTACTTGTTCGTATGAAGTACTACTCAGTTTCTCTTAAAACTATAACAAATCGCCTCAACTACAATACCATATCTAAAGCACTCAATTTTAAATTATCATTTCGTTCCTTTAAACTCGAAAATTCTATAATTAAACTAAAAATATGCAAGGTCGTACAACGTATCTATTAACTCAATCTAAAAATTTCCTCTCTTATCCAACTATTCTAAATTTCGGTTTTTTCCTTCTTCTTTTTTTTTGCGTTATATATTAACAAAGAAACTTTCTAGTTTTTTTCCTAAGTTTGTTAATGAGAATGCCGATTGTTGATTAATGTTAATAAGTTATTATAAATTTAACCAGAAATATAGTTTTGCAATTTTCACAATTGTGTTGCCAAGTATAATGAAGTATTTTGCATGAATTATATTGTAAGAACTTTATTTTATTGTATGCGTATTGAACAGTAAAACTTTTCCGAGGAAGTGTTTTGAAGTTCTGAATAAAATAAAGTCCAATTTAATAAGAAAATAAATAAAAAATAGTTTTATTTTATTCTCACGGTGTTGTTATATTAATAAAAATGAAAATACTACCTAATTTATATTTACAATTGAGCTCAATTCACGTAGAAATACAAACGATGCAACAGGTTGTTGAGCTGTTGGGAATAATTAAACTACGTTGATTCACAACACTGTGGATTCCACATTCCACTATCAACCTCAATGTTTTTGACATATGGGCAAATGGCGGATGCATTTTAGTGTTATACTTTAGTGAATATCTCGTAATTACAACAAAAGTTTCTTCAAAGAGTAGTTTTATTTAATAATTAAGTTTGTAGAGTAATTAAGAAGTAAAATGTCCTTGAATTATAGTGGGTAGTTCTTTTAATTCACAAGTTTATATCGGAATAAGGTTAGTTTACAAATGAAATGTTTTTAATTTGAAACCGTGTTGTGATATTGTTTTATCGAATAATTGAACTTAAATAGTCTGTGATTTATCAGTGTAATTGAACTCTTCTCATCAGAAGAGGTATGTATACTTTATCTAGTTTCATTTCAACATAAATGTCTTAAAGTTTTATTCATGTTGATACAATTTTCCTTATGAGGTTTCTGAAACTATTTGAAAATGTTTTTAAAGCTTTATAAGTTGTATTGTAACGTTGTTTTTGGATTTTGTTCAACAAGTATTCTACTTGCTGTTTCTATTATGATGTAAGAACTCCAGAATACATGTTTTGTAACAGAATATGTGGGAAAAGGAACTATTCTGGTTTTGAACTGTGTATTCTCTCTATTTTCGTTTTTATAATATATCACAAAATGTATTTTCATTTTTAGTATATATATGTTTAATTCGTTTAAATTCCTGAATGATCTATGTGGAACAAATATTTTATGGAAAAGATATAAGAACTGAGTGTTATGGAATCTTTTTTGCCGTAATGGTCTATAATTTAACTTCAAGCAGTTTTTTTATATTTATTTTATTACAGTCTGTTTTCTATAAATGATGGATCACAGGTTTGTTGACTAATGATGAAGTGACATAAACTTGTTTATGGGTTGAGCCTATAACCATAATGCTTTATAAATATATATTTAAATGAAAATGTTAAAAACTAATGTCAAAAATAAAATTGCTCTATCTTAGCTCTGTCTCTGACCGTCTAGCGATTCTCCGTTACCAATCTAATCTTACCTTCCACTCTATTGTGTTTTAATAATAGATTAAAACTTAATGTAAGATACTGGATTCTAGGGTACTAGAGTTACGTCTGATTGACATATCTTGGTGGACCAATATCACATTGATCTCCCGAATTCAGAAAGTATTACTGATTATATTCTCCCATGGACACCATGAGGTAGAGAATCCGTCACATCTATCTGAGCTTGTTATTTTTTTAATTTTATTTAAATAATAATAGGTTTTGTTATTCTAAAGTTTTGTTTTCTTCGATGATTCTATGGTCAGTGAAGAATCCTGGTCTCTACACAACAATCATTCTCCACTCCGTCCTCTCCTCGGCCACTCTAACTTCCAACTCCAGGTGTTCTCAGTTCCATCTCGTCAGCTTGATGTAATTGCAATTTTGGTCTTTCTCTATTTCCATTTCTTGCTGGATGTCCCACCATAATCTTCTTGGAGATTCTATTCTTTGCACGTGACATAACCATCTTAAACTTCCTTTCTTAATGGTTGAGATAATATCCAGGGAGTCTTTTTTGTGCAACTCCTAATTTGTTCTCACCGCCACTGACCTTATTTTGTTGGGCCATATATCAGTGCTCGACCATCAATTTTTTTATGGTTGGGGTCTACGTTTCACTTCGATACAAGACCATAGTCTTAATGATTGTCTTGAACACTTGTACGTTCAGGTTTCTTGTTAGGTCCTTGTTCTAAAAAATAGTTTCTAGTGATCAAAAGCAGCTGTCACCAGTCACTGTTATCAGCAAAGCCATGAATTTCCTTTTCTGTTTGATTGTTTTCTGAGAAGTTGACCAAATCAAAACATTCCATTTTTAAATCTGTAGAGTTCTATTGGTATTCAGCAATTTTTCATTTCGGAAAAAAAAATACTAAGCAAATAATATTTGTTGATTTGAAATTACACTAGTGATAATGTTAGAGGATTTTTTATTTAACTTCGTCTAATGCTTTCAATAATATAAGAATTGCTGCTTATTCTGAATGATTGATGTTATAAATTTTGTCACCTAATCTGTTTTAATTAAAATGTAAAATATTGGAATCAGAAGCACAATGACTATGAGTTTTAGCAGATGAAACTCACTTTTTATCTATTTCCAACTTGTTTTTAAATTAGCCAAGAAAATAAAACAAAATTGTTGTAAGATGATTCCTATATCCTATATTTAATTATATTATCTCACAAATATATTATTTATGATACTAGATAGATATATAGCAACGCTTATTTTACTTATATGATATGTAATATTATTATTTTTGAAATTGCTTTACCGATTTTCGATAATGAACTTTAGTTCAGTCAGAAAACTGTTGGATTATAATCAAGGGTATTTTTTCTTGAAGCATTTATTTCATTTTACATTATGAATATTATATAATTATTTGAGATTTAACAATAATTTAACTTTATTTTAAATTTAATTTATACAATTTTTCTTGTTCATTTATTCTGAGAACATCTCACAATTACCTTATGCTCAATATCTGATTTATAAAAGAAAAATCTGTTAAATTCTTTTGTATCTCCTATAATAGTAATCTTTCTTATCTTATTCAAATAAATTGTAATATTACAAAATTGATATTCTTCCATTTTGGGCATTTTTATGCTTTATGGAGTTGAACTATGCCAAATTATGTATAATTAGAAATGAATTTCTCAATGAAATGAATACTTGACGCCTAACAATGCACAAAAATACACAAGGAAATTGAAAATTCACATATTAATAATGCATAGGATATGAGTCATTTTTATTTATTTTTATAAAGGAAATTCAAATTACTTTGCCATTGAGATTATCATCTGATGATAATGTAATGGTGTTATGCCAAAATGAATTCAAAGAAGTTTTATCAAAGTGAAGATTGATTTTAAATAGTAAATTCAGTAATGTAAGTTACATCTTATATGTTAATTTTTGTAGTCACAATTAGTGTGATTGTAAATAAATGTATAGGTTGATAGATATTTCATATCTATCTCAGAATTAAGTTTATCTTAAACAAAATTTACTTTTTAAAAGTTATTACGGTTCCTTATACTCTAGTTTTTAATTTGGGGTTTAAGACCCTTTCGTTTTCCAATTAGGGCTAAATCTATTCTAACCAGAGTTAGAAGTTGAAGGTTCATTCCGTTTATCTGTCATAAAATAAATTTCTATTCACCTTGTCCATATTAAAACCCAGCAGTGCTTCTGCCTTGAAGTTCAACACACTCCGCCATAAAAGTAAAATCATTCTTATTTTTATGATTCCTTTAATGTCTGAGAGTACTTTTTTGCACACAGTAACTGTAAAGAGGATGTATAAAATTTGATAATTTTTCAATATATTAAAAAACATTAATTTATTACTTATTATTCAAACGACTCTACTAAGAGTTGCTTACAGAAACTGGTCAATCAATATCTCAAGATATGAAGGCAAGGAGGTTAAGATGTGGCATGTAGCTCTGAAGCAATCCATTTGGAAGCCTTTACATAACAATGAATACCCCTTTAGAAGGCCAAAACGCTGATGGATAGATAGAATAAGCAAAGATGCAATAGGGCTGAATGTAGATAACTAGAAAGAAATAGCCCAAAATAGTTGGAGTAGGTTTTTAAAGATCTACAAGGTCTTTAATGCCAATAGTTAATCATTAATAATATAATCAATAAGAGATTTTTTTTTAAATAAAAAAATTGGATCTTTTAAAATTATGGCAAAAAATGAAATAATAATTAACATAAAAATTTTCATCTATTCATTGTTAGTGATTCAACTGTCCAATTTTTAAGACATTATTAATGCAATGAAAGTTAGAATTCAGAAATTTACTCCATTTATTTATTAAATTTATGAACATAATTATTATTTACAGAATAATTTAAGACAAAGGGAGGAGAATGGTATTTGTAAACATTACAAAGATTAGGTTAATTCAGTAACCAAAACTTTTAAAAGGATTTCTTAGTTTTCAATATTAATGAGTAAATTATAAATTGTAATTATTATTATCATTACTATAATGGCGCCACGGTCTTGTAGGAACCTGCGCCTCCTCCACTGCAGCCAACCAACCTCCATGGTCTTGTGCTACTTCCCCCTATCTTCGCACACACAACCGCCTCAGATCGTCCTCCACATCCTCCAGCCATCTGATCCGAGGGTGTCCTCTACTTCTCTTGCCATCCCGCTTCTCATACAGCATCTTTTTTTCCATTCTTTCCACATGATCTAATTATCTTATCCTGGTTCTTTTTATCAATGCCACAATATTTGGTTCTCTATAAAGTTCCTGCAGCTCTTTATAAATTGCAAAAATTATATTAAATCTAAAGATTTTACTTTTGTTTCTTGTTATATTTTTTTAGTTTATAGTGCTAAGAACAATGCCTCAAAAACAACTCCGAAATAAGAATTATTAATTTTTTTATGATTTTCATGCATAAAATGTAATTAATATATAACAATATAAGCAAATTTATATTACTAAAAGAATGATTTGATTTATTCATACCAGTAACAGTATATAATCAAAGTCTTAGTATCTTCTGTCATCCAGCTGTGTCAGTTTGTATTAATCCCTCAAGCATCCTTTACTTTCAAAAAGAAGCTTCTTGATCTGTTTCTTCACAAATCTTTACAATTGTAGCATCTGTTATTTGATGATAGAGATTGTGTGCTACTCTTTGTTAACACTTTATCTCCCATAACTCCATTGGCTCTGATTTACCAGTTATCTCTTGATGTTTGATATCCACTTCTTTAAGGAGTATCTTATTCTCCCATACTGCGTAGACTTATTTATTTTTATTTTTTGTCATCTGTTGACTATTGTAGCCTAATAATAACAATGGTTTTAAAAATAAAAACTTCCTATTGTGAAATGATTCAGACTTCAACATATGTTAGTGTTATTTCAGCAGTTGCAGTCGATGTGTATTAGCTCATATACCTCAAGTATGAGTGTGTAACAATTAACAACAAATTTATGACTGATAAAATTATGTAGATACTTTCAATTGTTAGCAAAAAAAAAACCTCTTCTAGTACAAATAAATGCTTATAAAAATATTTTTATATTTATTGCCTCTGCCATATAAATATATCAAAAATTAATTCTTTTCCTTTTTTTTTTTTTAATACTTAAGACAGTAAAAGAATTGAAATTCTTAGTTTAAATAGAATAATCTTAAAAATACGTAATTTATTTATTTTTAATATTTTTTATTGAACATCACAACCAATTTTCTCTTCAATTATTCACTACAATCAATCATCAATCCACAATACACAATACACAAATTTTAATATATTTATTTATCTATTAATACATTGCATGTTTTTATTTTAGATTTGTTCTTGATATTTTTAATGCACTTATGACTAAGATATGTTATATAATATATATTTATTTATATTTTATTTATTGCTCAGTTGAGTATCGAGTGAATGACTAAAGATTTTTGTTGGCTTCTTATGTACTACTTACATAAGATTTGCACTTAAATTGTTTACTCAGTATTTATCACCTTATATTTTTATTTATTATTGTTCACTTTTTTATTTGTTTTGTTATTGTCATCTGTATTTAACTTTACACTGATTTTAATGATGTAATCTTGTTCGTATTTCATGTTATGAACCAGTTGTCTGCCTTGTACTGAAAGAGCTTAATTTGTGCAATTTCTATACAAATTTTATGTATTTAAAAAATATTTCTCAAACAATATATCTGTTGTACAACAGTCAACAATATATCTATTTTCAAAAAGTATAAGCTTACTTGCTAATTTTGTCAACACCAGTACCAGTACTTGTTGCATGCAAATATTTAATAATGTCAAATAGTTATTTTTCTTTTTACTGTTAAATAAGAAAAGGAATTGCATTAAAAATATTGAAATAAAATTTACTTCCCGTCTTAAATTTTTCTAGGAGTTGCACTATAAGTAATACTGTAACATTCCTATGTGTGACATTCATGAGTTTGGATTATGCACATTTGAAGTAATGTGCAATATTGCAATTATTGAGTTACAAAAAAAAATTAAGAGGGCTTTACAGTTTCAAATACATCATGGATGTGCATACTGAATATTCATTGGCGGTACAGCCATATTTTTATCAAATTATTAACATCTGTCTAAAATTACAGAAACGGGTGGTTTTCAATCTGGGCATTGGTAAACATATGTTTAAGGAGGTACTAAAAATTCATGTACACCAAATCACTTGTGGATCTGGGATTTAATTTTTTTTTTGGGAGGGGAGGAGAGAGGATTCAGCCCGAAAGCTTTTTTTTTCATACATATGTAAGAATAAGTACTTTAGAAAAAAAAAAGAAAGATACTAACTAACTATAGGTTTATTAATAAAATGCTGTTTAAGAGATTCTTGAAGTCCTATTAAATGTAATTACACGAACAATAATACTTTAAGAGATATTTTTTTACCATAAACACAT